GGGGGGGGGGGGGGGGCCGATAAACTTGTAATGGTACTAGCTGAGACAGAGGTACTCACAGAAGGAAGCAGAGCAATGACAGTGTATGCTAAATTCAGGAATGCAAGGATGCAGCCGCAGGACAGCAATGCGACGGTCGGGCGGATGTCGAAGTTCAACGGCCAGAGATATAGCCCGACCTTGCCGTATGCTGATGTCTCTCGATAATGCTGGAAAGGCACTGCCTCGCACCCTATGATGGAGACGGCGACACCAAAGATGATGATCCCCAGAGCGAGTCGGACCCAACGGAGATATTGAACCCTTGTGAGATATTTCGACTCGTCTGCATCCGAGGCGCAGGACACATGGTAGGAGACTGAACTGGTGGAGCCGGTATCCATCTCAAGTACACTCTGAAGATGTAGAATAGTATTGCACAAATCGGATTACTTAGGTGACGAGAATTGCCTGCAACCTCTACAGATAAAAACAGAAGAAGATTATGAAAGGAGGGACTCAGAATTATAAAGCGAGCGACGAGCACAACGGCTAGGAAAAGAGACCAAATAAGAGATGAAGAAGGAGTTCGTAATCCTGGAGAACCAGGGAGAGTTTAAAATATTACGACTTGTAAGCGCAGTTCTTTGGTTTGACCATCCATCAGTGGGTTCATCCCCAGTCCAACAAATGCCGAGATGGCCTAATATAGATCACACCAGTCAAGGACTCGGATTAACCGCTCATGCACAAATTAGCTTCTGCAGATTTCTGCACAACCACACCTTAGCCATGGAAAAATAAACATAGGTCAATGCGCTCGCTCTAGACTGACCAGGGCGCTTAATGGGAAGAGATACACTCGGATAGACCAATCAGCGGCTATTCTGGGCAGGCGTTCACGATGCATGAATCTCACAACTAGACCATCCTTGCCCTATGATATGCTCAAAAAGACGCCACCTGGTTTTGTAGTGTGTTATAGTCGGCTACACATATGTCGATAGGCACAGTCATTGGCCTTGGACTGTATGACCCGCCGAGGTCGAGATTACCTGGGGGGCATGGTCTCTAGGGGTTCTAATATGAAAGGTCAAAACACGATCCTTTGGATATTCAGGTAGAGTCTATACAGAGCAGTTTTCATGGTTGAAGTTGCAGTGAACTGTTTCATCGTGTCACGTTTCACATAAAGACTCCTAGACATTTCTCCGCCATTTAATGTATACGAAGTACACCGAGCTTCATATGGACGCTTAAGCGCCGTAGACTTGAGAATCTGGCTCCTCGAGAACTCATCGGTAAGTGTTCAAAGTAGAGCCATTTTTTGACACTGAGAACTAGCTGTTGATAATAATATAAGAGAGAAAGTGGATAGATAAGAACAAAGATTCTTTTGGTCTATAATGAGAATATGAGATATGCACTTTGCATCACCTAGCCTATACAAGGGCCACCATTGACAACCTCATTACGTATACTTCCGCCCAGTTGCGATAGTCGAGTATCACAAGAATTGATCCCGACATAAGCCGTCTAGAACCTTTCATTCTCTGCAGAAATTCATTGTAGGTCCGTTCCATTTGTGGCGCCCACGAACCAACCAATCCACACAAGCAAATACCATGACAAAACCAAGCACGGGGCCAGCGTAATTCATACCCTCAGCAGTTACCGGTACCTCGGGTGGAAAGGGTAAGAAGATTGCAAAGTAAGTGGCGAAGAGAATGGCCACTATATTTATCGGGAGACCCCATTTGCCAAGTGAGAATTCGCCCTGTGGAATGTCTCCAGGTGCCGTAAAACGCTTGAATACTAGGAATACAAGAGGAATGAGGTAGGAGATAAATATGCCCTCAGTACTCAAGGATAAGATCGCATTGAACGCGGCAGTGGATCCGATTTGGATAAAGGAAAGGACCACCACACAGGCTGCCACGAGAAAAAGCGCCCGAACGGGGATTTTAAGGCGAGGATCAACTTTCACAAAAAAGTTGGAGAAAGGAAGACCATTGTCTCGAGCGAAGGCCCAGGTCAACCGAGTGACGGAGGCAAGACTGTTGAAGAGGGCAACCCAGCCGGGGAGAATACCCAGCGCCATGAGGACGTATGTAGCGGCGAGGTTGTTACCACTGGCTTGATAGGCGATCTGGATGACAGGATAGCCCGTCACGCTAGTAAGTGCCTCCTCGTAATTTCCCATGCAGTAAAGCACGGTGATAGCATAGCTAAAGGCCATGACGGCATTGATAAGTGTACCCCAAATCATGGATCTTGGGATGGCAGTTTTCGCATTCTTGACTTCTTCGGCCATGTGAATGACACCGTCAACACCTGAAGTAATTAGTGAAGTAAAGTGTCTGGAGCTGCGCATAGACCAAAACGTACCGGTAAAAGGCGCTATAACACCCAGGAGTCCAACAGAAAATACTACCCCTGGATCCTTCCAGCCACTGAGTCCACTGATAAAGTTGTCCCAAACAAAAGCGTCAGGATTTCGAGGGGCTAGAATGAGGAAAACAGCAATAGTCACAGGCAAGAAGACACAATGCATGATACCAGCAGCGACCTCGACGAGAGGGAGGAGGCGACGAGCAAAGACATTGATGATGATTGGGATAAGAAGGACTGCCCACATAAGCAAGGTGCCATGCCATCTTTGTTGGTCGTACTCAGGATGGCTCAGGACAACCATTCCTGCGATCTGGTTACCGATAATGAACGGGGCAATGCACACAAGGGCGGCCCATGAGAAAACCTATGTTTAATCTTAGCATGGTACCCGATGAGCCTTGAGAAGACAATGTCGATCGTACCGTGACCCATCCTGGATAGTGACAATTTAGTGATTTAATTAAATAAATGTTGCGAATCCTGATCAAACCGCCTACCTTGGAAGAAGCTAAAGAACCGACGATACCCCGGGGCGAGGATATATGTCCAATGATACTGTGCGCCAGCTGTGGGATGTCTAGTCGATATGGTCAGCGATGTCACCTCTGCCAGAGTGTATTCGGTATCTCGTACACAGTAGCCAGCTCAGCTAAAGAGCAAGCAATTGCCAAGTTTCCGATTGCACTGATGATAAGCCCATAGACAATAACTGCAGGGCCGCCATTGAAAAGACCGGCCTGCAAACCTGCACCCGTTGTCTCCCACGAAGCAACTAACGTGGCAGAGAACGCCAAGGAAGAGAAGAAATTCAAGTATCTCTATTGAAACAATAGGGCTCAGCATACGAAATGCAATTCATTGAGTCAAATAGTACATACTTCTAACTTCTGTCCCTGGCGATACTCATCGCCGCCATCATAAGCTGCTGGCGCTGATTGAATAGCACTGCCACTTTTCATCTCAACTTCGTCGTCATACATCTTCTTACCTAAGGGGAATCTGGCATACAAGCTGAAAGACCCGAGAACAAAGAGTGATATTCAGAATAAGGGGTAGTAGGTAACGTTCCCTTTTTAAGCGTCGGGCGTCGGACGAAGCATTGGCCTGGATAATGGGATGATGGGATCGAAAGGTCCCATTCTCCTAGACATGGTGCTTGCAAGTAAATCAATTAATGCGGGTATTTCATATGCCTCGGTTATACCCCTGGATGAATCCATGTCGCTGTCGAGAAAGATCTGCGACGCTGTTGCAGTATGATCTGGGAGAGTTGTAACTCTACAGGAAGCCAGCATGCGAAGGGCTGATGCTTGCGCACACCCTAAATAACATCCACCATTATGATTGAGGGATTCTGCCGCAGTGGGGAAGGCTAACTGCGCGGAATAGCCTTAGTGCTTCCCTAGCAGGAGCCGGGCTTCTGATCCCCGTCTCTTTGTCCCTCAAGGATTCACAAATAGTTAGCCCTACCACATCACTGCCAAGTCCGGCGATTACTACGTTAGTTGTCTCAGGATAGCAATCCCGGTCGTAATGCGCTCTGTGACTGGTAAACTATGTACCTCGTCTGGTTTAAGAGTTTTTCTCTTGCGTGGTCCTGCGGCATCCCGCCGGAACACGGCGTGCTTCAGGCAGAGCCAAGTTCGGAGCCCCTGGGGCACGATCGTGATGGACGTCGCGAAGTCTTCATCCAGTTGGAGCATGGATTATGATCCGACTCTCCAGGGATGCATCCAAATTCAAAGCTCGTAGACCTTATAGTCATACTCGAGGCTATGCTGCCTTCTCTCTCAATCCTCTCCTGCCGATATGTCTTGACTATGGTGCCCTCTTGTGTTGACCATGTCCAATGCAAAAGCCCCTTACCAGGCCCTCTCAGATGACAACCGTGGGCCACTCATCACTCTTGTCTCTGTTACTCTTCTCATCGTTACGTTCATCTTTATTGCCGCAAAACTGGGATCAGTGATATACTTCAAGCAACGGCGGCCAGCAGTCAATACTCCCATCTGGGTGGCTCTAGTTGGTACCCATCTGAGTGATGCAAATACACACTTATCCTGACTACATACCCCATCAAGATACTGTCAATCGTCCAGGTGGTGCTCATGCAAAAGTCCATCCAACATGGATTGGGAAGACATATACAGACGCTCACGTCGGCCGAGATACGTCAATCCAGCAAAGTAAGCCGAGCACGGCCATTCTCACAGCAAACCCTACTATCCCCATGTCCAAATCACTTACACTCTCAGTTCTATTACGCCGCCCAGCTCATCCACATCGTCATTCTGTCACTCTCAAAGCTCTCAACCACACTCCTCCTCCGGACCCTAACCCCAAGCAAAGGCATCCGCCAAAGCTGCACCATCACCGTCGGCCTCATAGGCGCCTGGACAGCATTCGCGTTCTTCGGAATCGCCTTCCAATGCCCCCTCCCAGAGCCCTGGCTCTACACGCCCGAAAGATGCACTGGGCCAATGCTCTACCCAATCTCGACATTCCACATCCTCACCGAGCTAATCATACTCGCAATCCCCTTCATCATGATGCGCAACGTGCAAATAACACCAGCCCGAAGAATGAAAATCCTCTGCTCCTTCTCAGCCCGGATCAAGCACGTCTCCCCTTCGATAGCCTCATATCTGGCACATTGAACTAACGCAACTACCCAAAAACAGGGTCATCGGCCTCGCAATCGCCCATCTAGCCCTCCTGCCCCCGTTCCTCGGCTCACCAGATACAACATGTCCGTTCCCCGGCCTCTATGTACCATCAACCAAAAATCTAATGGAAAATATACAGGGACAATCATCAACCCAACAATCTGCGCCCAAGCCATGATGTGCGTCACCGTCATCATCGCCTGTCTGCCAACCCTCTATCATATATTCGCTGGCTTCCACTCCGGTCTTCTTACGACTCGACTGCCGGATGAAGTGGAGCTCGGCCATCCCGACCGAAGTGTCTATCATACAAGTCGTAGGACTAAATGTAGCTTTTATACGGATACCGCGCGCTTGAGTAATATGACGCCGTCGGTGGTTACGGATATTACTTCTTCGCGGAGGAATCGGGAGAGGGCGGGTGAGAGTACGGAGAGTTTGGGGCGTTTGACGCGGGTTTCGACTCGCGAGGGCGTGCTTAGGACGGTGGATATTACGGTGGAGGTGCAGGAGCAGGTGAGGAGGTGAGGGGTTGGTTTTTGAGTTGTGATGATAGTATGTAATGTATTGATGTTGTGTTTCTCTGTGTGTATTTATGTAGCTTGAGAGGAGGAAGGAGACTAGTGTGTGGTGTGTGGATTCCTTTGGATTCTAGGGAAAGGAGTGTAGAGTATAGTATAGCGTTGGAAGTCGATTCTGCTAATAGCTGTTGAATACGTTATGTTTCTCCGGCGCGATTTCTACTTCTGTATATCTTTGGGCTTGCATGATTCAAGTCATGTTATATTTGCAATAAACGGGGATATCTGTCAATCTCTGATCCGGAACAAATGGTAATGGTAGAAGGATAATATGCGTCGTAAATGATCTTTGAAATGCTTCTTCTTGATCTGATTTTGAACAATGAAATAGTACCCGGAAGACCTAGACCTCAGTGGATGCACTATTCTAGACCTTTCTGACGATCATACCGCCAGATGGCCAGTAGAGGCACCATCAAGAAGATCCCCCCGCCAGCCATGACAACACCGCTGAATACCTGCAGCCCAAGATACCCACTTCCTCCGCCATGGCCCTCAATGGCGCCCGCAATAGGCGCCCCAATCAGCACCCCCAGACTCGCTGTAAACCACAGCATGCCCATACGGGTCCCAATCATCGCCGGAGTGGGTGAGACAACGGGGTGCGCGATCACCAAAGGATTTGCTGATATCAGAGCTCCGGAGGAGATGCCAAATAATACACAAAACGTGATGAAGTAGGCCTGCGTCTTGACGCCAATCCAACCCAAAATCAACGCTGCCGATGTGGTCACACTGACACTCAGGATCAAGCCAGCGCCTAGTCGTTGCGTCAACAACGCTGACCCTAAGCGGCCCACGGCAGAGCCGGCGTTCAAGATTGACACGAGATAGAAGCTCATTTCTGTCGAAGTCTCGAGGACCTGCGAGGCAAAGAAAGGTACATAAAACAGCGGTACGAAATAGGCCATGAACATGAGAAAATTAGCGACCCCGCAGGCATTGAAGCTCCACTCCTTGAACGCACCCCAATGGATTAGCTGGCGTGGGGAACTGCGTTTCGGCTTAGTGGTCGCCATCAGCAGAGGAACCGCGATCCATGAACAGCCCAGTTGGATGAACCCCATTACTCGCGCCGTCCAGGGGAAGCCGATCTGAGGCTGCAAGCGTATGAAGATAATGGGAAATAGAACTCCGCCTGATGTTTGTTAGTCATGAATAGGGCTTGCAGTAAGCTATCAGGCTATCGATAAATACCAATACTGGCACCACAGGTCACCAGGCCGAGGGCAATACCCTTGCGGCTCGTGAAGCTGGTTAACACTAGGGACAGGGCAGGCACATAGATGAGCCCGCTACCGATTCCGCAGCAGAATCCCTGGGATAAGAGCACTTGGTAGTATTTTTGAGAAAGGCTTAACATCATAAGACCAAGCGTAGTCAAGAAGCATCCGGCGACCATAAGATGAATTAAGAAACCCCGGTCGAACAGTGGGCCAGCTATAACACCAGTGGAAATCAGAAAGAAGGCATTAACAGTGCCAATCCACGATAGCTGTGACGGTGAACTATCTCTTAAGAGATCCGTCTGGTAAAAGTGTTGGAAGGCGCCGTAGGCCGTCGAAAAGCCCCAGGTGGTGAAAAACAAGAGAAAGCCAGCAAACACACCCACCCATGCTGCAAAACCACCATTTGGGGGAGAAGGAGCTGGCGAACTCGCCGGGGGTAATATAACCGTCTCTTGAGGTGCTATGGTAGGCTTATCGGTGGCAACCATAGTTGCGCACCTTCCATTGATGTTCTGGCTCACACACATAGGTAGAGAACTCAACCATCGGAAGACCGGTGCGACGAGCAGAAATGAAGTGTATGTATACGCTGGTGGGGAAAGAGGTTAAAACCATGATGTCCAATAGACAAAGGTACCTCAACCCTAGTAACAAAGGCAATACCAGGAGCTATCACAGACTATCGAAAAGCCATAGTTTAGAGCCTCGGCACAAAGTCTTTACGACTTTGTTAGCTTCGTCGCTCTCGTCAGCATTGTTTGAATGCGACGACACGATTGGACTGACCAGTCCAAGACATGAGTCGTTTCCAAATGAGCCGGGGATACTTTTCCTATTATAGAGGAAGCCTCCAACTTCCAAGGAATCCGTCATATGAGATGACTTAATACCGGGATTCTTTGATGCCACGCTGTCTAGCCAATAACGACACTTAGGGCTGATGTGAGCTGCGGCTGCGGCGCGACGAACCTCAGAATCGCCCAAAAAGCTCACAACAAGACAATTGGAAGCCTCGTTCTTACCTCTGCTTGAGTCAATGTTCTACCTCGGCTGACCTCTTCGTTTATTCAGTAAGACGTAGCAGATGAGCCAGCTCACTGTCACGTAATGCCCTCTTGTATCGGCCCTTCGGGGTGTGATTCTATCACTAGTCCTGTTGCCCTCTGTCATAACTCCACATTAAGGATCACCGTGATCCAGCTCTACGTCTAGGGAATCACCATATTATCCCTGCTGTGTTCCCATATAACCAGCCAACCAGCTCTAGCTTACTTAGACTATCCCATATCAGCCTCCCGAAAGATTTGGAATAGTTGTCAACTTCATTCGTGACGCCACCGCCCAAGGGCAGCACTTGGCAGTGCTACCTTTGACGAACTGGATCCCTGACAATCCTAGATTTGGACGCCTGTGCGCCAATTGGGAGGCCCATCTTCGACGGTGCCAAGCGCTAGCTAAGAGATGTAGCATTTGTATTGTGCCCGGATCCATTGTCCAGACGCTTCCAGACCAGAACGCTCTGGTCAATCGACCCAAGTTAGAAAATGCGCCCACTTCATATCCAATATCGGTGAAGGCCTAGACCGATGGAGCGTAGACCTCTCCGATAATCTAGAACAGTCCCCTCAAGTATTCTAGGCTCCTTTGGATCTGGTGGAATTGCTTGACTGTTGGGATTTGGCATTCCCGGAAGCCAGGCAAGAGTTGATACATCAAGGTGCGAAAATCACCATCGTGTCCACGCTATGGGCACAAGCGGAGCCACCGGTGCCTGCCATCGGTGGAAACCTTCAGTAAACCAGCCAAAGAGCAGTCTCGGATATGTCATGGGGTGATGATTCAGTCAACAGAGAAATACTTGTACACTTTCAAATTTATCGGTCGGTCGGTAGGAACTTGATGAGCCCCACCCAATCAAAGCAAAGGCTGCCCCGCGATTTAAATCGGAAAAAAATCATGGCGGGGAAAAGGAAAAGAAACATACAATCTACTGCAAAGTAATTGAACTGGTCCGTGACCTCCTCCCCTCTTCCCTTGGCTGACTCTTCTGACCAAGCATTCTATTTTCATTTCTAGAACAACACTTTCGCCATGCCTCTCTCCAAGCTCCAGGGCGCGAAGCTCCCCGCGTCGGCCGACTTCCATGGTGCGTTTACCCCAATGTACTCCACGACAATAATTGACCGGGAAGCGCTGCGCAGTACACCTTCGCGATGGTGACATGATGGACCTGGTTACGCCTACAATCAGACAAGGTGGTGTGAACACCGTTTTCGTCATGGTAAGGAGTTGATTGATTCCAATGGACCTCGGTCTAATACATTCGATACTCATGGGACTGGAACAACAATTTAGCCCAACCTGGTGCCGCCAGTGACAACCGTCGACCGCGCGCTCGACTACAAGAAGCGCCTGCAAGCCATTGAACCCAATGTGAACTTCCTCATGTCGCTGTACCTCCACGAGTCCGTGACCCCGGAAACCATCATCGACGCCAAGAAGCGCGGTATCACCGGTGTCAAGAGCTATCCAGCAGGCGTTACCACCAACTCGTCCTCTGGTGTGGTGGATTATACCCAATTTTACCCAGTCTTTGCAGAGATGGAGCGTCAGGACATGATTCTGAATCTTCATGGAGAAGTCCCTTCCACTGGCGATGTGACCGTTCTGTCGGCGGAGGAGCGCTTCCTCCCCACTTTGTTGCAATTGCACGAGCGTTTCCCTAAGCTCCGCATTATTCTGGAGCACTGCACTACAGCAGCTGCTGTAGAGGCCGTGAAGAAGTGCGGCCCTACCGTGGCAGCAACGTTGGTCCCCCGGTTACACTTTGCAATGGATACATGCTGACGGTCAGGGATCAAAAGCATTACCGCCCATCATCTTTCCATCATCATCGACAACTGGGCTGGCGACCCGTTCTGTTTCTGCAAGCCTGTCGCTAAAACACCTGCGGATCGTGACGCTCTCCTGCGCACAGCAGCATCTGGCAACCCCAAATTCTTCTTCGGCTCCGATAGTGCCCCTCACCCGGCAGCCTCCAAGAGGGGTGGAGACAAAATCGCGGCGGGCGTCTTTACCCAGCCATACACAACCCAGGTCGTGTTGGACTCCTTCGAGCAGGCATGTGAAAAGGGCATCCTCAAGGAGGAAGACATCACCCCTGAGGTGGTTGAAGGCTTCATGAGCAAATTCGGCCGCCAATTCTATGGCATTGGTGAGGAACAGAAGGAGTTCATTACCCTCGAGAAGAAAGACGAAAAGATCGTAAACCTTTTGCAGTCGGACAAAGTGGACGTGGTCCCATTCAGACGGGACCAGCAGACATGGAGCGTGTCCTGGTCTTCCTAAGCCCATATTGACCTTATGCCAGAAATAGATTGCTATCACGATAGCCAATGGCGCATGACTATGCCATCCCTTTCCATCCATCGTCCTTCTTATTCTGACATTTTGTCACCTTGCGTAAGCATTCCTGTGACCGCCTCGAGCGCCTGCGCTTCGGAAATATCGATCTTTCGTCCGGCGACAACAGGATTGCCGTCACTGCCCACCCCAAGCTGGCCAGTTCGTTCGAGATGCAGGCGGATTCTGCTCTCGATGTATTCCCTTCTCTCGTCGCGTTTAGAATTTGCTTCAGTGGTGTCCGCCGATTTAGGCAGAGTAGCTAACTTAGGCCGGAGCTGCTTCAGTAGCGCTTGCAGGGCTGGCAGTTGAGATAATATAAAAGTCGTATTCGTGGTAAGCGGTGTGTGTTTAGCATTCGACCCAACAGCAGCGCCAACTCGTAATTGCTTCGCCGCAGGGCTCTCCGTTAAGAACGATAGATCCAAGTCTTTGTTTGTAGGAAGTGCAGGCGTCTCGGAGCTGCCCTCCTGTTTAGCACTTGTCGCGCCATCGGCTCCTTTAACGGTGGATAAGATCGATCGCAGCTGGGAGATGACCGCATCGTTCCGAGCGGTCTCTTGTTTTAAAGCTCGGTTCAATTTCTTGGTTTCCTGTAATTTTTTGCGTAGAGCAACAATCGTGTCCGGGGTAGGTGCGTTGGAGGACGGATTCAGATCCAGGCCCTAAAACGATACATTGTCAGTTTGTACACAGGACCATGGTCACCCAAACACATAGCGCACCTCATAATGCTTTAGTCGAATCCACCCTAGCAAGTCATCGTCCACTCGAAACGAGTTTCGCAGGACAATAATCTCGAACTTATCAAATGCCTTGTCGACGGTCGCCTCAAGAAGGGTTTCAAGTTTGTGCAGTCCATCTTCTATCTCCAGTCTCGCCTCAGGGTAAACAACGTTCCCATCCTCATCTGTATCTGGGATGGTCGAACCGTTGGTCGCGTGTGAGAAGCCCAACCGCTCGGGAGGGGTGGAGAGCAAGCCGGTTTCGAGACTCGAGATAGCTTGATAGATCAGATTATTGATCGAGTTGATCACGTCATCTACAAGGGACTGCGACCAGAGTATTAGCTTCGGTTATCTCAAGAAAAAGTGGTATGAGGGGTAAGGGAGGCGCATGTCTGAGACAAGGCGTTTACCAGAAATACTGACCAGCGGAGTATAGCTGAAATGCTCTGTGAGCAGAGACTTTGTCGCGTCATCCATCTTTATGAGGTCCTTAGACTGGAATCATGCTTTGTCTAAGCAAATGGAAAGTGTAGTGGGGGAGTCCTCTTCATGAGGGTCGCGTTGCACGGGAAATCAAACAATAGTTGAGTTTCTCTGAAGGTCCTCACGCGAACGATAATTTGCCAAGACCGCAACATTGTTTTGTCCCTTCAATCCAATCATTCCTCAATTAAATCTATTGACTGAGCCCAAGATCAAAGAGAGCACTTCAAGACTTTCTAGGACCCACTAACACGCCGTAGGATCGGGAAACATACTTGTATATAATCCAGTTTTCCCACTATATTTCCGTCTCCCTTCTCTCCACTCGTTTTATGTTTACGGTTCCAAATACACGAGTCATCCCCACTGCCCTAGCCAGGCCAGGTTGATTGGTATTCTATGTTACCAAATGAAGCAGATGGGGAAATTAATCCATGACTATGTATTCAGACCAGACGAATCATGACCCAAATGCTAATTGGTCTGACAATATACAACAATCGCCGGCAGCGGCAGTGAGAACGAGGCCTACCTCTTCGTCAGACTATGAAGTACTAGCCTTCAGGAATCTTGTTGACATGATGCATCTTATATTGTGGGGGCATTGTGTCATAAGCTGGTACTTGTGTTGCACTGGAAGCCGGCCTTGGTTTATGGAAGAAAGACACCAATAAGGAGTTTCACTCTGAGCATGGCATACTTCATGTGACAGATGTGAATCAGATGAGGCTTGAAGCGAAGATATCTGTCACTTGTCTTTGCATGTTCCAGGCAGTGATTCCATCCCAACTAGAATTACACCAAGAACTGCAGACAACCGAAAGCAAAAGCTCCACTAAAAGACAGTGTGCTATTATCACTAACTTGGCTGCAGCTACTATGTTCACTGCGGAAGTACATTCCTCCCATATGGAGAGTAGTGCCTTCCTGTTGCAGTGAAGAGTTTCGACTTCTCCACGATGTGAGCTAGGGAAGGAGAAGGGAAATACACGACGACTCCTACAATTGTCTGTCTTTCCTCATCTGTCTTTTTTCTTTTCTTTCAACAACTCACCTGTGGCGCTCTAGCTATAGGGCACTTAGTTATAGCTAAAGAACTGTCGCCCTAATCTTTAACTAACACATCTCATACATACTTAAGATGGTCTCGGGACAACAGAAATTGGACTTATCTCTCCTGAGACGACGGCATGACCCCTCGCCGACATCTTCCGCGAGCCTTTCACCAACAGTTCCCACCCTTGAATCACCGGTGTCATTTCAGGCGTTGGCAGTCAGAGCCGTCTCCGACACGACGATGACACAGCCAAACAAGCTCGATAGGCCGCCCGCTAGGCCTTCCATGTTCATTGAGGAGACGGATGATGATGATTCAATGCTTCCAAAACTGACTCGTGGCACACCTGCAGACCCGAAGTCTGCCGATGTGATAGGCAAAAGCGTTGAGGAGGAACCAGTGCGACGAGCAAAAAGTCAATACTTCGACGGGTTTTTCAGCGCACGTGGGCAAGAGCTGTCACTCAGGGATCGATTGAGTCAAACATCAGTCATTGTGGCTGAGCTTAAGCTTAGCAAGACGGTAAGTGTGTGCTACATCCCATTTGGAGCTCGAAAACCTCTAGAAACTAATAGCATATTCAGGTTACAGACGATGAAGCCCTTGTTTCGGTGATCTCGTCTCGCTTAGCGCATATCTATCAGAGACACGAATCGTCTATGATGGTTACCATACAGCAGAATGTATGTATTCGCTTTGGTGCCTTGAAGGACCCAGCATATTTGTTGAAGGTCTACACACTCCCATGCCTCATAGCCTCTATCACCAATATTCGTCGCACCGCCCTGATCCAGTCAGCCCTGAGGGACCTTCTGCAGATTGAACCGTATCGCGGTGTAGTTCTTTATCTTCCAGTTCCCGAAGAGAACTTTGCGACAAATGGTGTGACTTACATGGGCGATATCGCACGCCATGAACGCCACAGCGATGACGATGACCCGGGTATCCTCCGAAACATCTCACGGGGTTTGAGTAGAAGGCTGAAATCGAACAGCGCCCACAGCGCGCCTCGTTCTGAAGCAACAACCTCTTCATGGGATCCTGAAACTGATGCTCGAATGTCAACATCAGTGAGAGGAAATGATTCTTTGCACAGCGAGGGCTCTCGAGAAGCAGAGGCGGTAAGCCAAGGCAACAGTAGAGGATCCAAGAGTCTGCGACACTTCCTTTCCCGTCGCGTGCAGAACCCTACTGGAGGAGTAGATGACAAGCGGTAATGGTGGGCCTTTTTCTCCCATCTCTTCTGCATTAGTTTTCATGTCTTTTGTTGTATGGCATAGCGAAGTGAATGCGTTGTTTTTTCTTATAATTGGCCCGGCTGGCTCAGAATTATGGAGAACCCATTGGTACTGGCAGGTACAAGCTGTAGTTAATTCTGTACACCGATATCAGTTCAGGCTATCTTTTAACATGCTATGAGGCAATTGCCCTATTGTTTTCAACATCATCCGCTCTTTCGGAAATACCACTCCGTAGTCCTCCACAAAACACGAGCCGCCCAATGCAACTTCCTCTTATGACTCACTTGCTATTCATCTCGATCTTTGAATGCATCTCTACACTTGAAAGTCTCAACACAGCAAGCTGATAGTGAAGGAAATACAGAGATACCCTCACCATGGCTTCGAAAGTAACCAGCAGCAGCATAAAAGAAATTCAAGGCGACCTCTTCGACGCGCCAGACGGAGCAGCCTTGATCCGTACGTGACCTAGGAAATCAAGGTGTCCTTACAGCTAACATGACTATCTCAGACGCATGTAACTGTATCGGGTCCTGGGGCGGTGGGATTGCAAAAGCCTTCAAACAGAAAGTACTATATCACCCACCTCTAACCTGTCCTACTCATCAATCAGCCACTAACACACACAGTATCCGGCTGCATACAACATCTACCACTCGCACTGCCAGAAATACAAATTCAGTCCGGAGTACATAGTAGCTTCAGACCAGCCAAACAATCCACAATCGTCCACCAGAAACAGAAATATCCGGTTACCGGAGGGCACAGCTCTCATCATTCCGCCTCAGGAAACAGACTACAGGGGCAAGGGCAAGAAACACTGGATCATCTGCCTGTTCACTTCGCGCAATTTCGGGAAGAGGGTCAGTCCGCCTGAGGTCATTATCCAGAATACTGAGCTCGCTGTCGCGGATATGGTGAGGCAGATTCATGAGCTTCGTGCTGACGAGTCGGGAATTGGGGAGCTTTGGTCGTGTCGGTTTAACTCGGGGCTGTTTGGTGTTAAGTGGGAGCTTTCGAGAAGGGTTTTGGAAGAGTCGGGTCTGGATTTTACTGTTGTACGGCCGGAGGATGAAGATGAGTGATCTTTCTTTCTTTATTATCTTCCTGGTGTTTCAAGGTTGTTGGATGCATGAACATGGACCACAGATCCAGTTTATTCTTACTCCATATGCAGTCCCAAAAAGCCAGTCCCTTAAATATTACTCCTAGTAAATTACAATATATTTATTCCCCATAAATTATACTGAACATTACCCATTTCACAAAAAAACCCATAGATATCAACAGATCACCTGACTTCGCGTCACGGCAGCGCGTCATCGCATCCAGAAATCAAAGCGATAACAACCACTCCAACCATAACCCCCAAAAAAGAGGACCAAGTCCAAAATCGCAAATTCTCACCATGCCTGCAGAGCGCCAGCCCGTCAAAAAGCGAAGACAACTCCCCTTCAAGCCCCCCAGCCGACAATCATCAGTGACAGCCGGCCCCTCGACAACCGCATCCGCATCAACCTCCAAACCCAAGACCAAATCCAAACCCAAAGCCCCCGCAAAACTCCCCAACGCAAAAGCCTCATCATCCAAGACCGCCCGGCCCTCTACAACCTCCACCCGCGACGAGGCCTCAGAAGCCTCGAACTCGGACTCCGAATCCGAATCCAGCTCCAGCTCGCGCTCCCCTTCCGAAGAGCCAGACTACATCCTTGCGGAAATCGTCCATGCGGACCCCGATGAGAACGACATTCTCTCGAGCGAGCCGGCGATTCCGCCGAAACTGCTGACGAAGCTTGTTCATCACCATTTTAAGGGGCAGAAGACGAAGATCGCCAAGGATGCGAATGAGGTTGTGGCGAAGTATGTGGATGTTTTTGTGAGGGAGGCGCTGGCCAGGGCTGCGTTTGAGAGGGCTGAGGGTGGGAAGGGTGTTGAGAGGGGGGTTGGGGATGGGTTTCTTGAGGTTTGTTCTTCTTTTTCGTCCTCTTTTTCCTGCTCCTTCTGTGATGTGGTTGTTTGGACTGGACTTTTACTAACTTGGTTGGCTTTAGGTCGAGGATTTGGAGAAGATGGCGCCGCAGCTTGTTTTGGATTTTTAGACGGTTGGTTCTATCTATTGATTTGGAGTTTGGGGGTTGAGGGTTTCATTCTTAGATACCATGGTGTTATGAATTGATATTGGGATTCGCAGTGCTATGCATAAAGGTCTAATTCTATATACCGTGTAATGTCGTGGGTATTATGTCTTTTGGTAGTACGTGGATGGGTTGTCTATAGTTTATGTGCTTCGAGTAAATAGAACACGGTGGCGAGATGGTTTTCAATAACAAGTGTCGCAGTATCTTAACCGCTTACCAAAGCGTCCGGTGTTGTAGCCGTGTTGGTCGGGGTTTCAGAAGCAGAGGTCTCTGCAGCCGGGGTGTCAGCTTTCTCCGCAGATGCCTCAGGCTTGGCCTTGTCTTGCTTCGTGTTAGGCTTCTTCCCTTTCTCCGTGAGGGCACCGTTCTCTAGAGCTTCTTCGGGCAATGGCCGGATGTGTGGTTGGCAGATCCACCAAGGTCTGCCGTATTCAGCAATCGTTGCCTTGGAGCCCGTGAGCTCTTCGTTCGGAGATGGCTCAAAGCGCTCCGGGAATTGCTCGTATTCCTTGAGGCCCTCTCTGATTGCTCTCTCGGTAAGAGCAAGAGTGTGCTCGAAGGCAGCCATGTCGCCTGGCCTTGACCGTGCAAGCGCATCCCGAACGTTTGTATGTTTTGCCACCATTGGGCGCAGAAGCTGGAACAGGTGTCCCTGCATGACCCCAAGACTGGGGGAAGTAGGTCTCTTCGTCTTGTCGCGTTTCTGCTTCTTTTTCGGTGGCCCTTCTTCCTCAGCTTCCTCGGCGGCGGGTTCTACCGGTTGTTCCGGCTCCTCTGGATCTGACGGGAGATAGAGAGGCTTCCTCTCCGGAACAGGTTGTTCAAGGACATATTTATAGATGATATCGAGATAGCGGCGGAAGATAGCGTCGATCCGGTATCCGCCCTTTCCATCCCGGCCGCGCCAGTATTCCCTGCCTTCGCTTCCCACTGGGGGAGGTTTGCTGAAGATGGCTGGGTCAGACAAGTTTCCTTCAGCGCTCATCACGCCATCAGCACCTGTCTCTTCCAAGCAGCGCTCCAGATCGTCATAGTTCAGGATGTTTCCATTGGCGAAAATAACTGTCTCCGGAGGCAGATTGTCACGAAGATACCGAATATAACTCCAATCCGCTACACCCGTGTTATGACCCTTCTGCTCTCTCCTGCGTCCATGAAGAGTAATTATGCTCGCTCCGGCGGATAGTATCATTTTTGCGTATTCTAGTGTCTTCTCTTTTGTCTCCTGTATACGGAACTTCGCGGTGACGGGAACATCCAATTCGGTGTGTAGCTTATTGATCAGTTTATAGATTAAATCCCAATCCTCCTGAAGGAAGGCACCGTAATGGCCCCTTCTTGCGATCCCTTGGGGACACCCAAGGTTCAGGTCCACAGCGTCACAGTATGGCGCTACGTGGCGCGCAGCTTCCAAGAAGTCATCCGGGTTATTCGAGCAGAACTGTACAAACAGCGGCCGGTCTATGGAGGGGTTTCCGTCTAAGTATGGGGTATCATCGCCTTTGATAGCAGCGCGAGTGGGATGGAAATGTTGCAAACGCATTTGTGACTGTTCCCGGAACAAGCGCGCGTGGTACATCGGCGAGTATGCAAGCATAGGCTTGGGATCATCGGGTGGCATGAACGACCGAGTAAGCATGCGCCAGGCCTAGAATCAGCCGTTAGATTGGAGAGTATTATGTGATAGAAAGTGAAGATAATACAAATTCAGATCGATCCACCATGGGTGCCACAATATACTTGGGACTCCCTATACTCTTGTAGAATTCCCTCCCTAACAACTTCGGCTTCGGTGTTGTGTTGGCATTGGCGGGCGCACTTTGCGCTTCGCCGTTGCTTTGCGACACGGATTGTACCTCGGGGACTGTCATTTTGATGAGATTTGAGCAGTGTGTTTTGGGAGATTGTCGCCCCAGCCACGGGGCAAGAACGCGCAAGAACCCTATGGTTGTGGATTAAGAGGGAATGAGGGACGGTGAAAGTTGTCAGCTTGAAATTATTCCCCGGATTATTCGCAATGCGGGCAACTTTTTTTCGATGGCGATTTATCTCGGGCCGGAGTAACTTTGGTCCGCCTTATCTTATCCAGCTAAAAGATGCACATACTTAAGATCAAACTTGGGCATAACAGCCTGTCAGGGTAATAGCATAGCAATTGTTAGATTGAATGACGCATCCAGATTCAGAGCAGAATGCTCTCCGATCCATGTTCATTACTCCATGCCAAAAGAGAGAATCCTTTTGTAGCTCACTGCCATTCCGATTATGTAATCTATAGAAAAGACTTGGCGTCCGTAAGTGGAAAATACTAGTGTATCATGCCCAATGAATGGAGACCCTACAAGACTGCAAATCTCTAGGAATACTTTCCTTGGAACTAGCACGATCATGTGCACAGTTAGATATAATGCACACTGTTAGAAGCACCGGCACCGTCGACCATTTGAACAGCTGTCTCAACGGATGAAATCACTGAACTACTAGCGCCGCTTCCAAGACCAACAATGGACTCCACCGGAACAGGGGGTATGTTTACCAGTTTCCCAACAAATTAGACAAGCACTAATCGAAGCTCAGTCTCATCCTCAATCTCACTGTCTGAGCATGGAGAATATGCTGCTCAGACAAGTGCGAAAGATCTCATCCTACACCTCAACCCGACTTCTTCTGGGTTCCAGGATGTAGAGATCGTCAAAGTCAAAGAAAGCTCGTCAAAATTCCTGAAATTCTCACGAGCGAGCTACACTGTATCACCAGATACGTATGCCGCTAGAGGCGAAATTGCACCAGGGAGACGTGTGCTCCATGCCAGTGATGCACGCGTTCTGGTATGGCAATTGCTTCCGCTGCAATTACATGCTGAAATCGAGAGTATCGAGCCTGGTGCCTTGAACATTGATTTCGGCAGCGATGAAAATGAGGTCATAGTTTTTCATGCATGGAATACAAGGTTAACTGTGTATGCTCTGGATACCGGCCGCAGCCAGGTTATTAAATCTCCGAAATTTGCTCATCATAATGGCTTCGGGTACCGACCTAAGACGGGGCAGTTTGCGATTCTGTTAAAACCAGACGCAGTGGACCTATTGACCATCCATGCGTTCAGATCGTACGAGTTAATAAACCGCGCGGTGCTACCGACAGTAGACGCTCAAGGCTTGAAATGGAGCCCCGACGGGAGATGGGTAGCCGTTTGGGATGCTGCCAGTGCGGGTACCAAGGTTCTTGTTTTCACTGCCGACGGACAGCTCTTCAGGACTTATACCGGACCACCTGGATTCGATGACTCCTTTGACCTTGGAGTTCGAGGTATAGAATGGAGTCCGGTTGCGAACGAGAGTGGCGTCTCGGAATACCTAGCCATTGGTAAGGTCGATGGAACCGTTGATATTTTACGATGCAAAACAGTACGTCTATTCCTTTCTAAGTTGATGTTCTTTCATATTGGGCCAGCCAGATAACGGATAAATACAGTTCTCATGCTCGACAACATTATCCCATGTCTTCCAAATTGAAGACAATTCGCCCAGTATTTGGCGTGAGCGCTTCGCAACTGCAGATGGCACCCTTGAATATGCCGAGTCGTCCAGCTCCTCTGCCTTTAGCATAACTGCAGAAACGTCTGGCCCACCGCGGGGCGTATCAATCATGGCATTCAGTTGCAAGGGAAACCTCCTAGCCACTGTAGACCAAACACGACCAAACATTGTTTGGATATGGAACTTGGAGTCCACTGCCGTGCTTGTGTCAGCCTTGGTTCACGAGCATCCGGTCAAACAGGTTGCATGGCATCCCTCCAAAATACAGCTACTCATCATCACTGCCAACAATACTGTTGCTGCTGTTCGATCCTGGACTCCTGAGGCCCAGCCGTCAATCATTTACATTCCTACTTCACGAAGCGACAGCGGGCGATACGATATGAAGTGGCTATCATGCAATCAAGGAGAAGACTCAAAGTTCTGGTTTGGAACGGCTGAAGAGTATACACTCGGTCGTATCGAGAGCGAAGGTGATAGGCCACAGTTCAAAGTACTCAATACTATCAAGGGTAAAGCTTCTACTGGAAGCCACAGTGCAGGCATGAGCCGATAACTGGAGGAACAATTATGAGTTATGCAATACCAAGCGAGTCTGACCTTATTAAACCCCAATAAATTGGAAACTCATGCATGTATCCATTGACAGTAGATCTCATCTCCGTGTAATCATTGGTCGCATAGAATGATAACTATACATTTCTGCCTGAGGCATACATATAGATAACGCTGGCCAATCAAAGACCGCTTCTTCCACCACCGCTAACCGAGCAAACAAGGGCTTAGGGTTTGCACCCACGTGACGCCAGAGGTCTCCCCACTCGAATTTCGCACTTGGGCTCTCACTTCCGGCCGTTGATTGTCGCGCTCTCATCCGTCGTCGAACAACCAGATCAGACAGTCAAGATGGTGAGCTCATGCCGAACATGGAAAGCGAACAACAGGACGTCCAGGTTATACTAATATTTTATTCATAGGCTCCCGCACGCAAGAAGTGGTCCAAGGGCAAGGGTATGCAAATCACCGTCTCCCATCCATCCTCCCAGCGAACGAACCTTTTCCCGAGCAAGATGTTACCCGATTATTTTGTGGGCAGAGGGGTTGTTTGGACATGAGTCACGACGATGAAGAAAGCCGGCTAGTGGAACAATAATAACTGACGTGGTTTTTTTCTCTGCAAATAGTCAAGGACAAGGCCCAGCACGCCGTTGTCCTCGAGAAGCAGGTCGCTGAGCGTCTCAACAAGGACGTCCAGTCTTACCGTCTCATCACCGTCGCCACCCTTGTCGATCGTCTTAAGATCAACGGCTCCCTCGCCCGTAAGGCTCTTGAGGACCTTGAGGAGAAGGGCCAGATCAAGAAGGTTGTCGGCCACTCCAAGTTGAACATCTACAGTACGTCTTCGCCGTGAACCGCTGGATACCGACTTTTTTGCGCATATACTAACCGATGGTTTAGCCCGTGCCGTTACCGCTGAGTAAACGTTTCCTCACTAGTCTTTTCTCGCGGTCCTCTCATATTTTACGAATGATATCTCTCAAAATTCGGAAGCTTGGCTGGGCGAATGATGTATAGTGGTTCAATGAATCAATCAATTTCGGAGTGAAATCTTGCTTTTCCGCTACTGGACGTATCACGTAAATGCCTGTTAGAATCGACCAAGAAACGACCCTCGCAAACAACCGCAACCATACACAGTTTCAAGAAACGCATGCGGGGACCGCCAAGTAGGAAAGATGACAGATAAGAGAGCAGTACCTATCAGCTACGTAGCGCACGCGATAACCGGCAAAAAAAAAAAAAAAAAAAAAAAACACGCCCATATACTTATATACATACAAACCCATCAATCAAACCACTCCATGTCCCTAATTTCCCTTCTTCATATTACTCCTCTTAGGCCTCTGCTGCTTAGCAGCCTGACAAAGCTCCCTCTGCTCCTCGGGCACCTCCAATCCAACAACCTTCCCAACCTCGAAATACTTCTGATGATTCCGGAAGAAATTCTCCCAATGCTGCACCTGCTTCTGCACACTCGTGCGAGCAAGCCGGCGATCCTGCTCGCGCCGGATCTTCTTCTCCCCACTGCTCAGCGTCTTCAGCTCCGCCTCCTCATCAAGAGGCATGAACATCTCCTCAACACCCCGCAGGTCATGCGTCTGGTCCTCCTGGAAACAGCCCGTGACAAACGCGCGCGTGGCATCCTTCCCCGTAAAGAAATTGTAGTGTCCGCCCGGGCCGTACACGAGCGGGTTCGCGGAGACGTCGAACACGGAGCCATTGATGGCGAGGTAGATGGGGAGAGCCGAGTCGGAGCCGTTGTAGAGGGCGAGTTGCTCGGGCGTGAGGCTCAGAGGTCCTTGCTGTCGCGATTCATTAGCTAACTTGAGACCGCATTCCACCAATCAAGACTCAAGCCGGGCAGATGATCCAACGCAAGTATAGAAGCGAATGCCAAACATACCAAGTACCGGACCAACACCGGCCATCTAGTGAACCATGGCCTGTAGCCCCATAGCACGGACTCCGTCGACGTCATGTAGTAAGATAAGCCGCATGATGCGACGATCAGTGTGACCACCACGCGGATGATGTCGAGGATGCTGAGGCCGGTCTTCTTTTCATGGCGAGACTTGGTCTTCTGGGCGGTCTGTTTGGGCGTAGATGGTTCGTTGTTGCCGGCGGGGACCTGTCGCTGGCGGAGGGAGGACATGGTCGCTTTCAACTTTTTGGTCAGGTAAAGTTTGGTTTGGTTTGGTCTAGTTAAGATGTCATGGAGGTTATGGTTATGGTTGGGTTGGGTTTGGGAGGTTTATGAGTGCTGGTCAGTTTAGGAGTGCAGTCCTGAGGCTAATTTCGGTGGATTCTCCGCTTCTGTTTCGGGTGGTGAGATGACAACGTGACACTTGTTCTGTATGCTATCTTAAATCTATCGGTGTTTTGGGATAATTTCAGCGGAGCTTTCGAGTTTTGATTTTTGCTGTTTTTGAACTCCATATTCGTGTGGTAATGCAAAATCTACCGTGAATGCATACTGGCGAATTTACGGATTTACAAATTGAAGATGATCCAGTCTCAAAAATAATTCCATTCATTCCATCATATACTGCTAAGCAACTATATCCGAAGCAGAGCCTAATGGACTATCCCAAGCTCCAAGACTCTTCGACGGCAAGACCGACCAGCAGTCTACCAGCAAACTGAAACTCCAAGCTCTTCAACCAGTAGTCCCACCCCCATATGCACTCAATCGAACAAGAACCTAGAGAATACTAAATGCATGTCAGCCACAATCCCAAACATGCATATGAGATAAAAAATCAAGCTGTATGACAGAATCTCTCAGACATCCAAGGAAGTATTGCGCACAGAGCACGTCTAGATTGGGTTCTAGCGACGGCTAGCGTGGAAACTGCGAATGTGGGAAAAATTTTCATCATCGAGAAAGGGGGGTTTGGATTGAATGTGTGTGCTGTTGGGTATCATAAAACTGCTTGGACTTACCATTGCATTAGTGAAACTGAGGTTGATTGTTGGTGTGTCATGTTAACATGTGGCTTTCAAGCTTCATTATGCTTGAGTGAGTGACCAAAAGGTCAACTCATGGATATGTGCGTTGCATGGTTGAGTTGAGGAAAGAGAAGAAAAAATTGGAGAGGAGCTCGTTTTATGCTTCAAGAAAAAAGAAAAATTCGCGCTAGTGCCAAGCGTGGACCCGCTGCTTGGTGCCTTGGTGCCTCAGCTACGTGCAGCGCATGTTTGGACCCATTAAGGTCGGCCAGTAAAGAGGAGGCAAATACTAATCTATCTCTTGATATCATGTTCATCAAGCAAGATCTTTTATTTACGAGGTAATACCGCGCAGTTAAAGTATAATACAGCTTTACAAGTTAAATAAAGTGGTTAAGTTTCGACACAGAAACTGGTATTGCACTTAGGATACGAGGTGCTAAACTAGGCAAATAGTGAACTACTACTCCGTAGATGTTCCAACGCCATAGCAGAAACATTTTTAATATCAGTTATTCGAGCTTGGCTCGCCATGCTCCGTCACCTGACCCTGCTCGGACCCTTCCTGATCCTGTTCCCAACTGCGAGAAAAGACATCATTGAGAGCCTCCTGGAAAGTGCGGCAATTCATGTCAATCAAACCCTTCTTCTCCTTCGCCTCAGGATTGCGTATGACGGACACGAGACAAAGATATCTAGCCGGGTCAGCGAGTTCTCCTAACAGGTAAAAAGTAAAATCGGGGCATACTTGTTCATTTCCATCAAGTGGATCATGGTCTCGTCGTGCAGAACCACATGGCTCTCTGCCTCATGATTTTGCTCGCCTTTTGGCTTGCGGTCGGGGTGGTCCCATGAGTAGAGTTCTGAGATGTCCACAATCACATCGATATAGTCCGAGCACATTTCATAGCAGGACATATCAACTGGGCGAGTATCAGACGCAATGTAGATCTTGCTGAGAACATCAAACAGATAAGTCTTCTCAAATCCACAATTATTGCCGAGTGTGTTGATTAGGTTCTCCAGAGTCGATAGATTTGGGATCAGCTTCTGGATCACCTTGCTAAAGGCCTCAAAGACGGAATAATCATAGATAGACGTGAGGTAGTAGTGAACAGGCGCATTTTCATATCCAGCATCACTAAGTTCATCTGAGATGAGCTGTACGATATCCTGGAATGTATCGGTGCGGTATTCTTCCGAGAGCCCATCAACCTTGTGAATGAAGACTTCGATGTTGATGTTAGGGTAGTACTGCTGGACAGTCAAGATGGTTCGATTCAGGCGTGCGACCGAGTCCAGGTAGTCATCCTGTGCATCAATGACCCACACGAGTGCTCCAAGGCTTCCGAAAATGTCTTCAAGATCGAAAGATGGCTCCAGGTACTCAAGCTGACCAGGAAAGTCCCAAACCTGGAAGTCCATGAACGAACTTTGATAGACCATAAGCATGGATGCTTTTCTCATGTTAGAAGGATGTACTTACTGGATGGAATCCTTCTGAATGCGAGTAGTTGATTCCAGAAAGAGTGTTTCGTTAGGAGGCATCTTGTGGAAAACGACACTAGCGATCGATGATTTCCCACTCCTGTTCCATGGTCAATAAAGCCCTGATCATGCCTGAGAGGAGATAACTTTACCGTCGGAGACCCATCAACAACAGACGGGGTTTGGCATCTTGAGGTTTGCCGGTGGAAACCTGCCCCGGCTTCGCCTGCGCGTTATGTCCTGCCGGCTAGGTAGCATGTTAGCAACCCACAGCTCCCTCGTACTAGTCCTCCAAATTTCTTATATCTTGTGCAAGCATTTTCAGGGCTCGTTCACGTAGCCACAGAATGAGTGATCCGAGACACTGCAAGCTAGAAGTCACTGAAAACCCTGCTGCAAAGTGGTACTTGGTACGTAAGAGGTAATAACACAGCTTCGTCCCAACAAACAATAGCACAAGGCAGAATCATACAGCAAGTCCAGGACATGATACATAAAGAAAGATTCCACAAAAAAAGGAACAGCAAAGGAACTGTATCTCTTACCTCCATATGTTCAACTCTTTGTTTGTCAAACACTAATCAAGGGTCCAGATAAAGGAAGAGCTTTTATGGTGAGTCAGTTAGCATGGACTGACGCAGGGTGGATGAAGCAGGATAGATTCGATCCGGAAGGCAACAACATACGAGTGGAATGGGAACTTACAGTGCTGATGTTTCAAGATTCGCAGTGAATGAACCAGCCACTCCCAGGGACGCACCACACTTGAGTGCCCAGTAACAAAGAAGAGCACGCAATTTCCGCAGGCTACTGTGCAGATGGGATATCCGGAGAGCTGATCAGGGGAGAGAGAAGACACATTTATTTCAAGACAGGTTACTTGTGTGGATGGCACCAGAGCTAGAGAACTGTTGTTCAGTAGGTCTTTAAAAACTCATGGTTAAAAGTAGTAGAGCCGAGTCAAGGAAGATAGAGTCGCGAGGATAACACGCAAATGCTCGAGCTTCGAGCATACACAGGCAGTTAGAGGTATACGACTACCAGCATATATGGGGTTGATTGGCAGGGCAAGGGGAATGCGGAAACTCCTGCCGGTGTGGGGTGTTTTTTAGACTGGCCGGAAGCTCCTAAACAAATACCGCAGACTGACAGCGAACTAGGGAACCCGTCGAGCTAGCTCCTATCCACGAGAAATTATCTATGTGAGTCAACGGCGAAAGCTCCGGAAGTTGGAGGTTGGGGAAGATGCTCGCAGTGCGTTTCTTGCGATAAGACCGACTGTCCGAGTCTTGGCACGATTGGTCAATGGATCCTTCCGCCTTTGTGCCTACTCGATGTCGTACCTTGTTCACCACCTCCATCTCGAGTTTCTTTCTGGTGGAATTGTACCTGTATCGAGGTTCCGTATAGCTGTGGAGCCCGTAGACCTAGGATCTTTGGTATATGCATTAACAACCATCTCTAAACGCAAGTGGGGTACCCCCGTTAGAATGCGAATGTTGACAGCCGTTGAGTGGAGTTCAATATATATACTAGTGGTTCCTCAGAGCATATCACTTGAATGAATGAATGTATCGAGGTGGAGCCCTCAGCATAAACACTAGACTATGTAGTAGAGCTCTGTCTGAAGATGACAGTCTCTCTAGCAAATTGCTTAGAAAAAACCCAAAGAGAACATTATTGAACATTGAACAATGAGCGGGGTAAGTTGGTTATTATCCTTCCTGGACCAGAGGCAAGTCGTAGGAAGAGCTCTACCACTAGCTAACTATATACCCCAATTGACATACATTCGACTTCTTGGTATCTACGGCGCAACATCTAGGGTTCCTGTTCATCACTTGATAGACCAGCTGATCTGCACGTGGATAAGAACAACCGCCGTCAACAGGTGACGCCAGCTTCACCGCTGATTGGGCCATGCTTGCCGCCCACCGCCTTCTGGCGTCATCAACGGACAGATGGCCGAGTCACCGACTCTCGTCCTACCTTGAGAAGTAAACTGCTTCGTCCAGAGTCGTTCTTTACGCACCTGTGGCAGCCCCCCATGACCTCTCTAAATCCTCGCGAACCCTACTCCCAGGAGGAGCTCGAGAAGCTCTATCCGAAAGATTTGAAGCTTCAATTGGTCCAGGTGGTACGTACCAGACGAGTTATCGGATTTGGACTGCACCTGAGTTTGTACTAACTCTACTATAGTTCCTTCGCCATGGTAGGGCGGTTCAACGATACTCCAGTGGCTAGAGTACTTGTTCAGTTGACTGACTGGTTTCAGGCGAACGCACTCCGGTATCTTCTCGGTTTCAAAATGTATGAAGCTAACCACATGCCTCCAATCTATAATGTGATATAACTACTAAACCCATGAAGGCAGGCCTGGCTGAATGTAAATACTCCCAATCACATCCAGTTGTTTTCTATACCCTCGCAGACTGACCGACTGTTTTACCCGCGAAGATTGGCCGTACTGCAGTGTTGTGCGTCGAATGACCCAAATGGCCGCTAGCAACCAGGACCTCTCACAGTGGAAGGGCTTCGAATGGCGGAAAAAGACGGAGGCATTTGGCGATAGAGATGAGGCGGTGGTTGCGGTGGGTGCGACAGGTGACATTGAAGGCATCTGGTAAGTCGCGATGCAATATATGGGATGGCTGGCGAGAGCGAGGTTACTGACGAGTAACTCGCAACAATAGCCAACACGGCGAATTGACAGACAGGGGACGGGAAACAACCTTCGCCCTCGGCCAGCGCCTGAGACATCTTTATGTTGACCAGCTTGGGTTCATGCCTAAGATCAAGTCCGACACCGAGGATATGTACCTCCGCGCCACACCCATTCCGCGAGCCCTCGAGTCCCTCCAGCAGGCTTTCTGGGGCATGTACCCGGCTAGTGCTCGTACCCAAGACTTCCCTCCGCCAGTGATTGTTGCACGCTCCGTGTCGGAGGAGACTCTATTCCCCAATGAAGGCAACTGCCGTCGATTCAGACAACTGGCCAGGCTCTTTGCCGATAGGGCAGCGTCACGGTGTACGTGGAGTAGTCAAGCGTAAATAGTTATACGCTGACCACCATATTTATGCAGGGAATGAAACCGAACAGATGAATTACATCAACAGCATCCTATCAAAATGGATGCCCGAGAAGTCCCCCAAAGTTGCCGTCGACTCTCACCCCCGACTCTCTGGAATCAATGACACCATCAACGCAACCGACGCCCACGGACCCGCAACACGTCTACCTGCAGAATTCTACGACAAGAAACTGAGACAGTACATGGAACAAATTGCCGTCGACGAATGGTTCGCTGGTTACAACGAGAGCACCGAATACCGCAAACTTGGCATTGGAGCCCTACTAGGAGATGTGGTCGACCGCATGGTCAGCACCGCCATCGATGGTGGCTGGCGCAGCGAAACTTCGGCATCTGGGTCCTCCACCGACGATGGCAAGTCGATCAAGTTCGCCATGAGCGGATGCCACGATACCACATTGGCAGCGATCTTGGGTAGTCTGGGCGCCTCCCCTGGCAGGTGGCCCCCTTTCACCTCCTCCATTGCTGTCGAGCTCTTCTCAAAGGCGGACCGTAAATCTGGCGGGGAGAATGCTGGCGTCATGCTCGAGGAATTCTCAAACCCTGCCATCGCCCAGAAGAAGAGCGGAGGTCTTTTTTCCTTCATGAAGGGTTCTTCGAACTCGGACAACTCGACTCCGCCCCCTCCGTCTGAAACCGCCCGTGCTCCCCTTGCGTCCTTCCCCGATCCCGCAAGAAAATCCCTGCAGAAACACTATGTCCGTATCCGCTACAACGACGTTCCAGTCCGTATTCCTGGTTGCGCTGCGAAACCGCAAAATCATCTTCCTGGAGACGATACCTTCTGCACATTAGACGCATTCAAGGAGATCGTTGATAAGTTCACGCCCAAGAACTGGCAGGAAGAGTGCACAGAGAACGTTGGAGCGGGCCTCTATGGCAAGGATGACAAGGAGAAAGCAGTCTCTGGGTTCTAGGGGATTCAGAAGTATATATCCATGCATGTCACTCAATGTGTACGGTAATCATATTTATTTTGGCTATATATAATCTTTTTTGGAAAGAGAGAAAACGAGGAAACGCAGAATTATGCACGTCGTGATCTTATCAGAGACTACATAGACTATAGACGCCTTCATTTCTCTTGTATTATGTCCCAGCTTAATAATAATAATATATGTACCCGGACAGGACAGAGAACCTGTCCATTGACCAAAACTTTTACCTCCATATACTAGTTATGTACCTCTTGAAAGCACGTCAGATATTGATATGATACAGGGTATGTAACGATAAGTGTATCTTGCTTTATCTCTAACTCGAACGCTTCACAGTCCTGCTGGGACTGCGGCTGTTGCGTCTCACACGCACCTCAGCTTCACTATCACTGCCACTGGTGCTCCAGCCGCTTTCACTTTCGCTGGCACTCCAGGCCGAGTGACGCTTGACCGGCGACTTCTTGTCGATATCCATTTCTTCGGCAGGAACAGCAGGTGTAGGTTCCACATCGGCCAAGCTAGCACCGGCCTTCGACTTCTTCTCGTGCTTGGCCTTTCTTCTCATCTTCTCTTGCATTTTGGCAGCCTCCTGCTTCTCCTTCTCCTGGCGCTGCTTCTCGGAGTCCTCTTCCGAAGTGCGTTCCAGGATGTCATAGAGTTTCTCCACTGCCGGCGCGTACGCTTGCGCGACGGGCATATCGCCAACGCGAATGCGCATGTAGTCGAAGGCGGCGACGACAGGAACCTTTATCTGCGGCTTTTCCTCTACCTTGATGGTGGCAAAGAAGGAAGGAACGTTCCCATTGGAGGTTGACGCTTGGGAGGCCTCTTCCGGTTCGTTGTCTGGGATGTCGGGTTGTTCGGGCTGGACAACGGTCTCTTGGCGTTTGGCAGGCGGGTGGTTCTTTTCTACGTGCGCGACCTTCTGGTACCGTTGACTGAAGTGGGTGAGGAGGATGGCGCGAGCTTCCATTCTGCGGCCAACTTCTAGGGCTTCGGAGGTCGTAGAGTGTTTCTTCGCGATAGCCGATACTCCCATGTCATCCTGGAAGGTGGCTTCATGGATGAGAACGGTGGAGCCGTGTCCAATTGCGGCGAAGCTAGCGGAAGGTCGGCAGTCACCCGAGAAGGAGACCTTGAAGCCGTTCGGGAAGACAAGTGAGACCGCCATGGCGCCACGGCAATGAGACACCTTTGTGGTTAAGAGATCGGCAAGACCTGTGGCTTCGCGGAGAAGTGGCGTGAGCGGAGATGACTCGCTGTCAAAGCTAAGCTCTGTACTTCGGGGGTTTGCATTTTCAACTTCCTGGTTAGAGAATGAGCCATCCGCACGGCAGTGTCGGTACACAAACTTAGTCCGCAGTGCCCTGTTGTGAATCACGGGATAGGCGGACAAGGGAATCACTTTTCCGAAGCCAAAATCTTCAGCGCTTGCGTACTCTTCTAGCCACCAGATCATGTTTTCTTCAGAGACAAGGAACAAACGCTTTTCCTTGAGTATCTTGGACATGTCGTTCTCGATAGCACTTGTTTGCGAATCTCCATTCGGATAGTTCTCTTGGAACCATGCCTTGATGACAGAAGCAGTACCGAGATGGTGGTCTGCATGCAGATGGCTAATCCAGATCATTCGCAAGTTCTGTAGAACCTCCCGCAATTTCTCGGGCTCGAAAACGCGCTTCAGCTGACCAAGCGTGTTCTCGCCGCAGTCAAGCAGATAGTACCCGTAACCAGGAACATGAACGAGGGTGCTGGAAACATTGCGGTATTTGGAAGGAGAAGAAGAACCTGTACCCAAGGTGATAATCTCCGCATCGGCTCCTGGAAGATCTTTCCGGAACTGCCGCAGCTTTTCCTCAAATTCTTCCTTTTTGACTCGCTTATCGATCGTACTCATACGTTTCTGGACTGCCACAGGCATCCTTCGCACTGCCTCAATTGCATTGAACCGTGGGACAACCTCAGAACGGTTAATGCCAAAATTAGGTTCCATGTCAATGATAAGGCCAGGTTCAATTGCTTCGAACGGCGAATTCTGCACATTTTTCATTGTGACCTCCGAACCATGAGTGCGTGTCCCTGGTTGCGGCAGGCTCACATTGTCATGGACTGGTACTGGATAATTGTCACGCCTCAACTGCGCCATACGAACAGATGACCCGGCAATGCTGCCCATAGACAAGTAGTTTGGACAATAGTCCGAGCTAGACACAGTGTGTTTGCAATGGGGCATACTAGCGACAAACTCACGTAGCCGTGGATGATCTCCGACTCCGGGGCCTAGTATCCAGATAAATGCTTCAAGGTTCGTGGTGACAGAAGGTGACTTCCATTCCGGCCTACTAATCAGACTCTCCACGTACTCTGAACTAGGAAGGTCGATGATGGCTAGACCTTTTCCAAGTCGTGGGGGGCCTAGAACCATATCAGGCGTGATGGTTTGCTTATCTTCGGATATCACGCTTTCGCCCTTCGTCAAACGTCCGAAGTCCTTGCCTTTACAGACCTTCAACTCCGCCGCTTTCTTGGGATCGAACTTGCCTCTGATATCATGATTCCGCACGATATAAGAAACAGCCTCATCACACCAGGTAGTGGGAGGAATCTTTTCAACGGCTGCGCCTGGCCAAGGCTGGCGTACGAAAACCTTGATGTCAGGCAGCGGTTCATTGCTTCCCGGAGCAGGGCCCGTGTATTGCTCAAGCGCCCTGGTCTCTGGATTGCGAACAAACATGACCGCGGGCATCTTAACCTCAGCCAAAGGGGTTTCAACCAAAGCATCCAATTTCCATGTGGAGTTGAACATGTCTGTTATAACCGATTGCCTGATTATTTGGTCGCGAGTACGCGGGTCAATCGCTTCCTGAGCAGTAACTTCTTCTCTGAATTCATCAAGGCTCCTCTTCCTCGGGCTTTGCGGGGCAACACGGGGGACTTCCTTCGGCTGCAAAGATGTGGGAGGACGAATAGGCATAGCCCATACCTTGATATTATCATCAGACCAAGTAGGTTTTTCAAAAGGATCTTCTGCCTCCGCAGACTCTTTCTTAGCCATACTCTCACTGTCATATTCCCGCGTGAAGACTGGCATACCCTTCCTGAACACAAATCTCCGAGCAGTGGCTAAGGTATGTGTAAGGTTCTTACCACCATGGATTGTCAAGGTCCCCCGCTGCGCAACAGCCTCTCCGTCCTGGACGGCGTAGGGCACGCCATGCTCCAATTTGGCCTTCGCGGGGGGCTTTTTGTCAGACTTTGCAGACTTTTGTAGACGGGCCTCCTTCTCACGGGCAATAGCCTCCAGGGCAGTATTCGCACTGGCAATACCATCTGCGAGCGTAAGGATCACGCCAATCAAGCCACCATTATTGCCCCATTCCATGCGACCCGTGAGAAAAACATCGGTGAGGTAAGAGAGCTTAACACCACGTTCCGTACATGCCCGCTGAGTTCCTTCGGAGATCTGTCCGAAGAAATACCGCTTTTCTGGGAACTGAAGCGCGACGGTCGTGCCGGGAGTATCGGCCGTGGGAGTCGTGATGACCTGGTAGAAGAACTTCATGGGCTTCTGTCCGACAGGCGGGGTCGGCAAGAAATCGAAACCTGAGAGCTTGTGAGTTTTCGAGCTGTATAGCAAATAGTTTTTCGATCCCCGTCGCGTAATAAGTCTCGGAGCTCGGAGAAGAAATGTATCCCGTTTGAGTGGATATGGCTCGGTTTTCAGTGTGGGTAAGGGTTTCGTGGGAGGAACGGTCGATTTCGACGGATGTGATTTGGGTCGGGGCTTTGATCTAGCGAAACTAGCGGAAGCAGGACTTTTTGATATCGAGTCCTTTGGCTTAATGGACTTCGGTTTAATAGACTTCGGTTTGGATGCAGCTTTGGGAATATGCCAAAATGGTCGGGAAAACGGAGCTCTGAAAGGAACTGGAGAGCGGGCTATTATAGATGGGGCAACGTTTCCGCGAAAGGCTTTGAATAATAGCCCGCGGGCGGGAGGAAGGGTAGCCAACTTGGCTAGGGAAAAAGAATTAGTTAGGAAGAGATGCAAAGAACAGTCATCTCAAAGGATGAGCGACGCGATGAGGTGGCGAAGTTGGTTGGTTGTAGCAAAGGAAAAACACAACTTGGGGGTGAAGTTGAGTCTGGAGCAGTTCAGAGCCTCTCTTCTCTAGTGGCGACAAACACCAGTTTGCAGCACTGCACATGACTTTCTAGGTAGGTACTAGTAATACTTGAACGTTGTCAGACTTAGAAGGTGATCGACCGTAACTTTTGAACTTCGTGATGTATTCACAGTTAACTAAACTTGGTTCCTAGTAGCCAGTCCAGAAGGTATCCAATTCTGCCAAAAAAAAAAGATGAAGAAAAAAAAAAAAAAAAAAAAAAAAAAAAAAAAAAAAAAAAAAAAAAAAAAAAAAAAAAAAAAAAAATGAAGAAAAAAAAAAAAAAGAACACCAAAGGCCTGTAATCCCGATCCCACCTTGAACGATTTCGAAAAATTGACTCCATCAGACCCAGCAATGAAAGGGAGAATGAAACGAGGAGAATCCAAAATAGAAAAGAAAGAGAATAGGGTGAAACTAGCGGAGTTGCAAGTCAAGACAATATATATAGTCACAGGATCATAAACAAAGGAAAAGGTATTTGTGTCTACAAGGACGCAGGTTCAGGTAGCCGAACCGCCTAAAAGGAAGAACATGACAAGAACGAACTTTACAAATTCTTAAGTTAATCTGAAGTTGCTTAGGTGCGACATGGGGAATCATGAGAGATGAGAGGTGACCATGGAAACACGCTGGAAAGCTGCTTCCATGCTGTGACAGAGGTAAGAGAAACGGCTCTCTGCATCGCGGGACTCATTCTCGACCACCAACTCGAATGCATGTGCAGATTTCTCTGACTCAACTCCGTTGAAGGAGATATCAAACGACTCTTGTTGAGAAGTAGCTGGAGAGTCGGCGAAGAGAGCAAATGCA